ATCGGTAATTGTACGTGCATGTATTAGGTGTAAAATTATGTCGCCATTCTGACAAACTACTCATAGTTTGGAGCGTCACCTTTTTTACCTTTTATATGCCACATGGGCCGTATTTTTCGTGTCTAAACCAGAACTAAAATCAGGTCTAAACCAGGTCTAAACCAGGTCTAAACCAGGTCTAAATTCAGGACTAAAACCAGGTCTAAACCAGGTCTAAAATTGGGACTAAAACCAGGTCAAAACCAGGTCTAAGCAAGGACTAAACCAGGTCCAAAATCAGGACTAAAACCAGGTCAAAACCAGGTCTAAGCAAGGACTAAACCAGGTCCAAAATCAGGACTAAAACCAGGTCTAAACCAGGTCTAAAACTAGGTCTAAACCAGATCTAAAACTAGGTCTAAACCAGGTCTAAACCAGGTCTAAAATCAGGACTAAAACCAGGTGTAAACCAGGTCTATACCACAATTTAACCAGAACTAAACCAGGATTTAACCAGGACTATAAACCTTGCTGCGCACCACCAGTCTGTGAAAATATTGTCCAGAAAAAAACGCTGCCACAATTTAATAATTACCTTGTGTCTTGGAATGGTGAAATGTTGTAAAAATCATTTATGAATAATGCACTTAAAAGAATAAAAAAATAAAATAAAAAAAATGAAAATACAATATTAAAAAATGAATATATTATCAGTTGTTATTGAAACTCATCATTGCCACAAAGACAAAAGATGCATTTACTTGAAAGGCCTGTGTGGGGTAGGGCAGGAGGAGGGGATTTTGGGGAGGGGGAGCTCTGCTGTTTTTACCAACTCTAAGGTGCGGCTCTCATTCACCCAATTTGAAAATCCTGCTCTAACGCTAAAGTTACATATTGCGTCATTAAAGTACAGCTGTCGTAGTTTCGTTTCCCAGGATGCCACCCAGCTCAGCCTTAATTTATATGGTTTCAATATCAGCCATATCCTGCAAAAGGGACACTATTATGAGATATGAAATTGGAGGAGTTAATCAAACCAGAGCTAATGCCCAATATTTGGAATTAACTATGGTGTTAATGCTGCCGTCAGGACAGATAGAGTGCTCCCACCAGCGGCTAAATTAAACAGGTTAATTAAAGTTTTCCCATTTCCATTTAATTCCCCTTGGCCCACACGCCACACTCCCACTCACTGGGGACTGCACGCACGAGACAGCAAAAACAACCACAAATAAAAGCTCCGTCGTCTTCTATTTAACGCTTCTATATTATATGAAATTGACTCCAGTGAGGATTTAGCCGTGTTAGAATGTTTTACCTCCTCAAAAACAAACCTGGAGTTGTGTTTGTTTCATTCACACATGTTTTAGTAACCCTGAATTGTTACATTTACATCTGTCTACATCTCCAAAGCTCAAAATTCTCCATTCTACCTTATGATGTCATGAGGGGGTAGTTTTCAAGTTTACAGCTACCTTTTACTTTTTGTTGACAGTAGAGCGCTTCCTTGTGTTACCACATGACATCACAATGTTCTTAGTTTGAGAGAAGAGCTCAGCCTAAAGATGTAGGGTTTTAAATATAATTAATAATAATAATTAAAATTTTAAACTATTAATAATGAATAATTTCTATAAATCAATAATGAAATAACTGAAGAAAACACACAGAGATTAACTACTTGTGATTGTTAACAGACATTATTAACATAACATTATCACTTAATTTCAAAGTGACTTAGCTTTTTTTTCTTGAAGCTTTTCTCATCCACCTTTCTCCTTACATTTTCTGTTTGACATCTTTCACATATGTTGAAACCAATGAGTAACCCACTCTTCTTTGTCGCCTTTTAGGCCTTTGCAATTTATGCTTGACAAATTATCGCCCTCTGCTGTTAGTACAGCCGACGGCCAGTAAATCGGACAGCCATTCTGGACTTTTCCAGAACGCACAGATTGCCAGTCCGCCCTTGGTTTCAAGTTTATTTCCTTTCATCAATTAACTTTTATTGTTTAGGACAGATGCCATTCCATTTTCCATGCTTTGGGGCAGTACAACATTTTTTATCCTTAGACTCATATCAAAAACATGAAAGAAGAAAATTAGATCCTGACAAGGGTTTGTGTTAAGAAAGTAATTGTGAGAAATTTGGAGAGACAGTGAACTATCAATGACTATTAAAACTCAACAGACAAGTTACTATATACTATGTCTATATACATTTTTATAGAAAGGTACCTGAACATAGCATCAGATTGGTCTGCCTGTTTATTTGCATACCACCACAGACTGTGTAAAGTGGACTAAGGGAGTGTGACGTCACCCATATATTAGGAATAGAGATATATTTAGGAACAAAATAGTGCAACAAAAACTTCAGGATCATGTAGAGCGAGTTAATACAACAATAGCAGGTTGACAATGGGGGTGACAATGTTTCATTGTGAGGTCAACTGGAGCCAAAGCCAACAGATCCGGAAGTGCCCCCATGTTCACATCCTAATTGGAACTTGATGCTGTCCATTTCCATATACAGTCTATACATACCACCAGGAGATAAATGATCTTGAGTTTTTGCACGATGAAACCAACTGCTGGCATTAATAATCGCATATGCACCATAATTCTGTATTCTGTCTGACCTGCTTGAAACTAGAATACACATACGCACATTCATTTAGCCTTTCCATGTAATTGTTTATTTAGTTTATGCAGAAAGCTGTAAATTGTTGCCTGAAGGTATGGCAGACCAGAGCTGGAGTTGGCAGTATTTCATGAACTGAGCTTGAATTGATAATAAGCAAAAAAAATACAAAAAATAAAACAGAAACGTAATGAGAGGACTGTGCTTTTAAAACCCGCCCTCCAGACAACTTCCCGAGGAGGAACTGAGTCGTACCAGTAATCAAGCAGTTAACTCAAGCATCGCATTAATTCAAAATACGCTGGTTTTTGTGAAGTTAATTTGTAGCTCATGAATTTACCACACAGATTTGAATATTTTGACAATAATGGAGTAATTGCGAAAATGTGTTTGTCTGCCACTATTTCGTTTATAATAATAACTGAACTGAGTGACACATTTTAAGTGCATGTTGGTGCATGTTTTTGCTTAATAAATCCAATGATCAAACTAAACGAGATAGGATTAAAGGTTGTTTCTGTTGTTTCGCACTGGCCGACTGTATGTAGCTACAAATAGATTTCAGTAGATTTTTTATTTGTTCTTATTTTATTGCACTGACATGCTTTGTGCTATACATATAGACTGTATAAAGACTAAGGGAGTGTGACGTTACCCGTAGTGTTCAGCTCCAGTCAAATGAAGCTCACTGAAGCTTGCAGTTTATAGGTGTGGATTTGGAACCGAGTCTTATATTAGGGAAGGGAATTGATGTATGTACAAAAAAGTAAAATAAAAACACTAGGATGAGGTACATATTTTACTATGTGTAGTTTTATGTATTTTATCATGTTAGTATGTGTGTGAGTGTGTGTTTGAGTCTGGGTTGTTTGGTTGTTTGGGGTTGGGCGGCTGTGAGGGTTCAATTGGGTGGTCGATGAAGCTGGAAGATTCAGCTGGAAGTGTGTCCATGCTCACTTCCTATTTGGAACGTGGCAGCTAGCAGGTTAGTTTTATCCATTTAAATAAAAGGGGTTTGTAGGCTATAGTTTAAGCATTTAATTACCTATTTCTGCATTATCCTACTTGGAGTTATTTGATACAGATACAGCTATATTTAAATCTGGATCAGAACAAGTACAAAGTTTTTTCAGGATTCTTCTTCAGAATTCAGTGAGCATTCCAGGTACCTTGGAGAGCGGCCAGTGACAGTGATAGACCAGTGCTTCAACCAGAGCAGACCTGGGCATTTTATAGTTCCCAGGCCACATATTGTCATTTGGTTGACTCTGTCTGGCTCGTTTAAGCTAATTTGAAATTACAAAATAAATATATTCTATAATTTTACCTCATGCTTGGACTAAAGCTGCATTGCTTTTATTTTAGAGGTGTTTTTTTAATGATTTTTTTAATGCACTCTCACTTTTTCATTGCTGAGTCATAACATAAACTCTTACCAGTCGGACCAGCTTGTCAAAACAATGCTATTTACTGCTTTTTTTTTTTTTTTTTAAAGAAATACAACTAATATTATGCAGAGCGCTCCACAATATTTTCTTTTTCTCATGTGGTCCTCATGGAACAAATAATTGCCCACAACTGAAATGAGTATGTGAACCTAAATGCAGGACTATTAATAACAGCCTATATAGACAATACACACTCCTGAATCTACTCTGTGAACATCTAGTTTAGAATAATTAGAATAAGTTGTGTAAAATAACAAATTGTCTATATTTAGTGGGCCATCCATTGCCTGAACAATAACAAACCAAAGACGACTGACTTATTTATTCAGTCAAATATGCACAGGTAGACATACAGTACGAATAAATCGTCCAAGACTGTATGTTTCCTAGTGCAGGCTGTGATGCGTTCCTGTGCTTTGTCGGTGTGGGGGCTCCCTGTGTGTGTCGGGGGGCGGGGCTCCGGACGGGCGCGCTCCTCGTCCGTCAGAGAGGGCGGGTTCGCAGTGCGCGTGGTGTGTCCGCTGCTGCTGCTCGTGCGGGGGTACAGCGGCAGGTGCACACTCACACCTCCAACCTCCGGGACACTTTTACGCTTTCCAAACCACGCTCTTCACACAACAAACCTCACGTTGCCTTATGATATTGTTGCTCCTCGTCCAACAAGACTGAAAGTGCCGCTGCCTCTGCTTTTGTTGCGCCGGCAAATGGGCTTTAACGCGATGGGACTGGAGTTGAGGAACACGTAAGATGCTCTGAACTCGACCTAATTCAGTCAAAGGAACTTGATAAGCTGATTTTGTCTTCTCACAGGCGGGATGTTGTAAGCGAGCGGTTCTGGGACAGTTACGCAGAAGACGGGACGCAGTGAGAAAAAGAGAAAAGAACAGCGCGTGGATCCAGCGGCAGGGTTTCTACGGTTTCTTCGGATTATGGCTCGTGCAGCGGTCTCCCTCAGCCTCTTCACTCTGGTCCTTACAAACTTGCACCTGTCGAGAGCCAACGACCGGCATGCAGTGTACTGGAACAGCTCAAACCTCCTGTAAGTCACTGCCTCCTCCTTCTTCTCCTTAAATCGCGCTGTTTTTGTGTCCAAGTGCGCTGCGCTTTGTTGAGCTGTCCCTGTGTTATAACTTGTTAAAGACAAAAGCATCATGTGTTACACCAGCTAGTCTTTGGATGTTGAGCTGTTTTGCAATGCCAAGCACGTGTAATTGGCTACAGCTTATGCTTACATTGTACATTTGCTCCACTATCCTTTATATTAGGTTTCTGTTTATCCATACAGTTTTATTCTCCTTATTTTAAAAAATATAACTTTTTCACTGTCTAGGGAAACCCATGTGTATTTAAAGTAGTAAAAATAGGTCAGAGTTGTTCTCATAAGCACAGTCTACTGAAAAGTATCACTGCAGTTCTCCTATGTAGCCCTGCTTTAAATTACAGAAGCAACAAGGCATTAAAACAACTCAGTGTAGTGTTTTGGCTGGAGTGTGGTGTAATGTGACTGTCTTATTTTTGTATTTAGTCAAAATGACAGAACCTTCACACGTCTCAATGGTAAACAGTTTTATCCATGTTGTTTTACCCTTGCAGCTGAGTGCTTACTGTATAAATATTTGATTGGCTCTCTTGCCATAGTCGGACTACTTAGCCCGTACTGCATTTGACTAAAATTGACTCATTTAAGGTGCTATCATTTCATTTGCTCGCTTTTAGTTTGGGGCTGTCTGTCATCTGCCCTGCCAACCGCCCAGGACAAATGCATAATTCACCGGCGGAGCTCAAAGTTTCATAAATCTATATGGCTCTATAAATCCCACTCAGTGTCAGAGGATGGTAATGGAGGTTGTTGGGTGTCTCAGGTAAAGCTGTGCACCCAGAAGCAGGCTCATTGTGGGGCATAGATCGAAGTGGATGGCAGTGTCTTTGTCTTCTCATTAGCCAGCAGTGAATGTATCTTTCTCCTCTTCTTTTATCTTCCTACAGCCCTGGCGATCCCCTCCTCCAGCTCGTGGCTCTGTCCATTTGTATTCACCTCATAGACGCACTCCTATCTCCTGGCTCCATCTGATGCTTAGTTATTTTCTACCCTTCTCCTATTTTTCTGCTGCAGGCCTGTCCCCCTCAATTCTCCTTTTCTGCATCTCATTACTGTCCCACATCTGCTCCCGGTCGCTCATTCACCTCCCACCAAGCGCTCATACAAACGCCCATGATTAGAAATGTGTGCGACTTATTGAAACGCATGTGACTGAGCGCTGTGTGCGTAATTCAAATATTTGATGATTTTTTCCATAAGTTAAACATTGACTCTGGACTAGATGGAAACAGTCAGCAGCCACTGCAGCAGTCATTTCCTCATTAATGTTAATGTGCAAATGTCACATTTACAACTGTTGGAGATTTATGGCTGCAGGGGAGGCCTGTGTGGTGACAAAGGACTGTATTTACTGAGGTTGCCCCAAACACCACACTTCAAATGTCAGACGCACTATTGGTCCTCTATCTATCAGTTTTAATTAGTCTATTGATGTGCACTTTGTCTAAAGTGACTTTCACAGCTGGAGCGCTGTTGCTCATGTAGTCATTCATTACAGAGTTTGCACATTTTGTGGATTTAAATTGACATTTATGTGTTAACATGACAAATGGGAGCTCTTATTAATGAATTCAGAGTAATGTGATAAAGAGGGAGGCAGAAAAGTGCAGGTGTGGGTCTTAAGGCTGCGTGTGCAAAACCTCAACTTTACAAATATCTCTAAAATAATGCAGAAGCTGACCCAGTTTGCAGGTAGCATACGACTCCTGAGACACAGGCAGAATACTGATGGCCGTCAGGCCCAAAGTGCTCTGGTTGCGCTCACACGAGCAGCAAAGAGCCCCAGCTCATCCAGGACTTCTGCCTCAGTGCTGGTACTACAGAGCCTGGTACTACAGAGCCTGGTACTACAGAGCCTGGTACTACAGGCTGGTTTTATATTCTGTATGATTCTGTATGGAGGGTGGTTCTACACTCAGAGGCTCCACAGTCCTGAGGTCTTGCCTGTGAGCAGCAGTCAGTGCAGATGGCCACAGCACAGCTGTGAAACAGCATCATTGGAAGCAAAGTTGAAATGACTTTTGTGATGGCGCTTAGCTCTAAATGTCTCTGTGCTGTTTGAGTCAAAAGGGTCTGTCTCACAGCTGACTCCAGTATCACATTGTGTTTGATAGTTTCTGAGGTAAACAACATCACAGTGTGATTTGTTATAGATTTTTCTTTGTGCAGCTCATTTAAAACAAGCTGTCTCTATTATCATAACCTGAAGAAATACAGCAGCCAGTGCTTTGATTACAGCCTGAGTCCGTCACGACCATACTCGCCCTATTAGAAAGTGTTGCTCTAGCTTCCTCTCTCAGCAGTGCGCCTGGCCAAGTCGCTACAGATGTCCCTGCTAATGGCTGACTGAGGCAGAAAAAACACACACGCAGGCCATTAAATCATCTCCATCTGAGGCCATCTGCCAATTAGACGAGATGTGCACCATCTTGTGTGTGGAGGCGCGGTGCAGTGCAGAGGTGGCACCTCCACCAGTGGACAGTGCCCCTGCCCAGGCCTCCCGACCTGGGCCTGGCCTGGGCGCTCTACGCAGGGCAGTAATTGGGCTGCTTGTGTGCATGATCAAAACAAGTGTGCGGTGTTCAGCTCCTCCTCTTTCACATGTGTGCGCTAATGCCCATCGCTTAGCAAACACTTTGTTTGGGCAGAGGAAGAACACAGAGAAAGTCTCCCCCGTCCTTCAATGAAATCTCTGCTGTGCAGATCAAAGTGCGCTGTTATTGTTCCTGGCTCAGCCTGTGTATCTACAGCTTTGTGTTCATGTTACACATTATATCCCTGATACCAAACTCAAACGCTATTTGTCGAGCCTTAGACCACATGAAGAAAAAACAAGCTGGTTCTGGCTCACCATATCGCTGCTGCGAAATAAATGATCACCTTGACAAATGGCTTCCCAGAGAGTCGGAGGAACAGGGGCCTGTGATCAATGTGGAGTCAGGCCGCGTCTTACTCAAGCGCCTCATTAACTACTGCAGCGCTCTCTGTGCTCCAGCACAGCTCCCCGCGGGCCGGCCACTGCTCACACCCCACAGGGACAAGTTTGGGACTATTTAGCTGCACTCAAACACTTCTCGAGACAAGCCAGATGAAAAAAGCACTGTGACGGATGGATATTGAGGAAGCAGACAATAGGAAAGTGGTTTGGGGGAGTTGGGAAGTGGGCGTAATGCAGAGATTGTGTGAGGAACAGTGAGATGTTTGGAGCAGCACGCAGAAGATTGATGGAGTTGGCTGGAGTTGGCTGGGTGCAGGTGGGGTGAGCTGGGCGCGTGTGAGCTGATGTAGAGGTGAGTGATTTAGCTGTGAGGCTGTGCTCTGAGGAACAGGCCCTCAGGAGCTGATCCGTGCTAATGCAGACACAGACTGGGTTATCCATGTGGACCACTGCTCAAAAACAACTGGTCCTTCCTCACGACCTCTGGTCCTCACAGCACAACATGGCACAGGTGGATACATGACAAGCTCTGTTTACTGTCTGATTACTCTGTCCACCTCCACCCATAGGTCCTGATATCCTGTTCTGAAACTAAACTACACATGTGATACTTGGAATCAAGGGAATTTATGAGTTTTAAATATAGTAAGTTTTAACTATATTAGCCACAAGTTACCCATTATAACCGTAAGTATTAAAAATAAAGGACTGTTTAGGGCCCGTCTGATATATCAGTTGGCTGATATTGTCGACTGATATGGGCACTTAGAGAAATATCGATCGAATATGATATGGGCCACGTGGGCGTGTTTTACCTCTTTATAAAGTTTAGACTCTCTAGAATACAATTTAAACAATTTAATTCAATTTACAGATAAATGCCTGAATATGTGGCGCTGTATCAATATTTATTTGTGCAGTACTTTGTGTCTGTGATGTCGTACTGCACCTGAATGCAGCAGAGACAGGCTCTTGTTTACATGCTTCATGTGACAGAGACAGCGCTGGATTTAAAACTCTCTGAACTAAGATACTAACTCAAAAATAAAAGTTAACTTAAACACAGATCACACCAGCAGTCTTATTTTTATGAGTGTGAAGAAGAGAGAAAACTGTCAACTGACAGAGTTCATATGCACAGCAAACACATCATGTTTTGCTTCTACTGTTACTCCAATAAAGTACTCTCAGAGAAACTAATTAGTCCTATATGGTATTATTTTCACCTTGGCGACAGATGCAGATTAGCAACAGCCATGCTGTGTTGTTTGTGCCTATGGAGACTGTACATTATTTAGCAACTGAATTAATGCTAAAAGTATGTGGAATTAGAGGTGGGCTGTATAGAATATACATACACACAGTGCACTTTGCAGCACTTTTGATGATATTGTAAGACTTGAGTTGGGTTTCTTGAATCACAGTTTATTCACTGTGGGAAAGAAAAATATAGAACAACACAAACGCCAAGTATACTTCAAGTTACAGGAATCAAAATATTGACCTTAAGTTTTTAAAGTCTAAATAGTTCTGGCTCGGGGAATGACATATCCATAGAAACAAGCAGGTCCCCCAACCAAAAAGTTACATAGTGCATCTTTAATAAGTCTGCATGGGAAGACCTGATCTCTTCTATATTTATACTCTGACTTTCTTTGCTGGTCTACACAAGCTATCTTTGATTATTTGAGAGATTGATGCTGTCCAGACACACCGATTAGTTTGATTAAGAATACCATTAAATAAATCCTCAGCACTGTGACCCTGGTCTTAAAATGCCACAAATTTACATCATATACTTATTGAACTTCAGACATCTTATGGTCTGAGTCACATAGAAATGGACTAAGAAAAAGGATATTTAATGGTTCATATGGATCCGAGAGTGGCTAGGCTAAATCAATGCGTTTATACTGTATGGGGAAGGTGAAGTGAGAAGTGGACCTGCTAAAATACAACACGAGGTGGCTTTCTCTGTAGTAATCAATGGAGGCGCATCAGT